CGCACACTTTGATATGCGTTTCGTTTGAATATGCGATGACCTTATCCGATTAATAACGGTTTGGATTTTGCCACCTAATCGTTGCGTTTCTGCCGAGTGGCAGTAAAGTTACCCTTTTATTGCCACGCAGGCGTAACCCAGCACAACAGCCAAAGAAAACGGGCAACGAATTTTAAATAATTTGTTTTCCTGTTATTTTATTAAATAATAATAATAAAATATTATTTAAGTGAAAAACCCAAAACAATGGGTGAAAATCGTTTAGGGAACACCCATAATGAGAAATGAAACTCCTGCGATCGCCACTCGCTGCTTCTGTCCACCCGACAATTGAACCCCTCTCTCCCCTACTACGGTAACATAACCCTGTAATATGAATTAAAAAAAAAAAAGGTTAGGAGAAACTTTTACTGCTTCATGAAGCTATCTAGCTAGCTAGCACAATGCTTTAGAATGTCTCGCATGTTGTAGGTTACTAATGAAGTTGTGAGCATTGGCCAGCTCCGATGCAGCTAAAATTTCCGCCTCAGTTGCATTTCCTCCCTTTCCGTATGCGATGTTGGCACGAATGGCGTCATTGAACAAAACAGGTTCTTGGCTTACAAGTCCCATTAACCATTTTAACTGCAGCTTTTGTATTTCAACTCCATCCAGTGTAATACGACCCGAATCTAGATCATAAAATCTCTGCAATAGTGAGACCAGGTCGACTTCCCGCAGCCGCTTTCTCCGACTAAAGCAACCGTCTGAGACAAGAGAATCACATCATGTAAATTTAGACCCTATAGGATCAATTTTGTGTATGTTGAAAGTTGAAAGAGATTAAGATTTAAGCTCAAAATGCAACGGGTGATTTACCTTGCCAGCAGGAATAGCCAAACATAAGTCTTGGAAAATTTGAATGTCTGGCCTTAATGGATACTTAAAGCTCACATTAGAAAGCTCGATTTCTCCTTTCACATTTTCTAATATCACCCCTGACTCGTCACCTGGGTCTATCTTTGACCTCCGATCGATGATTGCGAATATGGAAGCCGCGGCTGTTTTTGCTTTGCTGGAATCAGAACCAAAGGTGCTTGATTGACTGATTGCAAGAGATGCTATCGTCAAAGCAAAGAAAACGTGGGAAATGGATATCAACTACAGTATCAAAGAAACATGTTGAAAGAATATCCGGATAATTCGACCGAGCAAGAAGAGATACTTGAAAAACATCTGAGAAAGTAGCATGACCATGCTCCACAAGTTGAGCTCCGACATAGAAACTCGTCGCATAAACAGAATACATTAAGAAGGCCGACAGCCTGAATCCTATTCCGATGATCAAACCCTGCCTTATCCCTGTCTTCATCGGGTGTTGGCATTTCCATATGTAAAGACGCATCACTTTCTCCTCAGCACAGAAGGAAGCAATTGTTCTTAACTTCTTATACCCCCGACTGCGTCATTCGCAACTTGACTTGCTTCCTCGTACATCATCTGAAAACAATTAGACTTACATTAAGGTAAACGGTATTGTTAAAACCATATAGCTTTCACTCTATGAAGAATTTATAACCCGATATAAATGAATAGTGATACGATTATCATTTCCACCTTGGAGTTCATAGTGTTAAACATGGTGCAGGAATAGATTGCTGGTCATTAGATTTAGGCATATGCCTTTGCATCTGCACTAAATCCCTTCATGAATTTCACTTGAATGTATCCGTCAATCCCTATGAGCAGAAAAAGTGCGAGGACGATCAAAGCCAACTGCCAACTTGCAATGAAAGCAATGACCAAACCTGCAATGGCTGATACAATACTTTGAACAATTTTGCTTAGTGCATGTCCAACTAGAGCACGTAATGTTGCTGCATCTGCCGAGAGCCTTACTCCAAGTGAACCAATTGAGTGCTCGGGTTCGTCAAACCAACCGACCTCCATGTGAATCACTTTCTGAAAACACATTGATCTTACTCGTTGGATTAATTTACATCCAGCAACAGAAAAGAGGTATGTTATATGCCAATAATAAGGCCAAGCCAAGGGCCATAAATATGAGTGCCCAGAATCTTGAGTTCATTAGGTGGTTTGTAAAAGGTTTTGATGGCCTCGGAAAGAAGCAGTGCATAAGCAGGAAGGATTAATCCATTGACAACTGAAGCTATAGTTCCAAGTAGAAGCACAGGAATCTCCGGCTTGCTGAGAGATGCAAGCCGATGAATTGAGACTTCCGAAGCCTCTACTGGTGGTATTGTAGGAGGAGCTTCTGCATCTGTCAACACATTATCCGTGACATTTTTTCCTGTAGACGAACCCCTACTGATATATTTCTCCAACGACATTCTAGGACTTGATTGTCGAATTTATTTCTCAATATTTTCCAATCCATTTTCATCATCCGGTTCCTGTTCTAACTCTTTATTTACCTCTTGTAAACGTATAAGCTGAGAGTAAGCTCGATCAGGATCCTTGAGCAAAGCAGAATGAGACCCTGATCAATCAAAAACCATGTTATATGCAATTTGAAAACATGACACTGGTTATGTTGCTGCAGACATAAATAAGTTGAGTTATATGGCTATAATTTATCATACCTTTTTCAACCATCTTTCCTTGATGAATAACAGCTATCATATCTGCATTCCTCACCGTGCTCAGGCGATGAGCAACGATGACAGTAGAACGATTAGTCATTATTCTGTCTAGTGCCTCTTGCACTGTCCTCTCAGATTCTGCATCTTGCGCGCTTGTAGCTTCATCTAAAAGTAAAATCCGAGGATCTTTTAGAATTGCTCTTGCTATTGCCACTCTCTGCTTTTGTCCACCAGAGAGCTGAGTTCCATGCTCACCAACCATGGTGTCTAGTGCCTATAAAAAATGCAGAAGGTAGAGGTAAAATTTAAAAACAGTAAACTTTGAGATATGAATTAGGAAGTAGCCATTTGAAGAAGACATTAAAACCTGAGGCAGTTTCTCGATTTAACTTGACAGCATTAGTGAGTTCAACTGCAGCTCTTGTCTCTTCACTTGTTGTCCCTTCGTTTCCGTATGCGATATTATCCCTAATGCTTGATGAAAACAACACGGTTCCTGGCTGACAAGGACAATCTTTCCCCTGATCCATTTAAGCTGAAATTCCTTGAGGTTGATGCCATCGATAAGGACTTCACCAGATTGCGGATCATAAAATCTCTCTATGAGACCGATTACAGTTGATTTCTCGCTTCCACTTTGTCCAACAAGAGCAGCTGTTGTGCCACTGGGAATGGAAAGACAGAATCCATTGAAAATTTGCTCATCCGGTCTTGCTGGATAACTGAAACAAACATCCTTCAAATCGATATCCCCTTGAATGTCCTCCAATACTTTTCCATTTGTGTCATAAGCATCTATCTCAGGCTTCCTTTCAATAGTCTGATTATATCGTCTAATCGAGGCTTTTCGGCTAGGGATTATATCGTCGATGTCGATAAAGGAAGGATGAGGATTAGGCTTAAGGTTGGTTTGGCTCTTGGGGTTGTGGTTTTGTGTATTGGAATTGGATCTCTGATTTTGTATTTTGTAGAGAGCTTGGACTGCATTGATTCTGTTTACTTGTCGGTTATGTCGGTTACTACGGTTGGGTACGGTGATCGGGCGTTTAAGATTCTGCCCGGAAGGTTGTTTGCCGGTGCCTGGCTTCCGATTTCATTCATATTCGAATTGTAAAATCTTTGTTTCCTGTGTATCTATCATCCGGACTCTTGAAATATAATGAAAAGTAAATATTATTCCTAAATGAGGCTTGTTTTTACCTTTATGTTCTTTTTTATGTCACAAGTTGTTTGCAAAGGTTCTTTGACCGTATAGGTAGCTGAGAGATCTTGCAGGCAAATATTATTCCTAATTGTTGCAGGTAAATTCTGTTTACTCGAAGATTCCGGTGGACATGTCATGCTAATGGCATTATTAAATTCTTAAAAGTAATTTATTTGGTAAGAGTAAACGCATCATTAGAGACTGTGTGAGTACTATCAGATGGAAATGTAGTACATGTTGATCCCACCAGAAAACATTCTTGTACTGCCAACCGGCACTTGAAGTTTCTAGCACAGAGTCAGTTTAGTACATGTACTGTAGTCTGTAATCCTTTTGGTGTTTTAGCATAAATAGCTCAGATGACAGCATACAGCCATAGACATCAAAGGTGTCAAGTTTCTTTGGGGGATTTAACAGATACACCGAGCCAAGATGAGGTAAGAGATAGAGAAAGATGGGAGAGACGGACAAAGATAGGGAACAGGCTGAGCATGGATGGATCTACCAACAGATTCTGTTGTTTCTCTGCCCATGCACTGCCTCTTCCCTGGCTCCGCCTCCTCCATTTTCTCCTCCCTCTTCGTATTTTTAACCTTATTTCGTTTCGGGTTCTTTTTTCTTGTTCTTATAAGCTAGTGATTGAATGTAGATTCAGGTTCATGACAGTAACGCCCTAAGGTAATTGTGGTGACTTTTGTTGTGCCTCTACGGCCCCAGCTCTTTTTTCTTCATTTTTTCTTGTTTTGTTGAAGATTAACCATTCTTGCAATCCAGATAGTAGGTGGAAAAGAAACAATAAGACTTGAATGCGCATCGCTTTAGTGACCGAAGATAGTGGACATGAAGAATTTCAGGGTCTGCCTCAGCTGTAATGTTATGTGTTTGCTTCGATTTTGTATTGTATCTCATGATAAGACTTAACCCCCAGAAAAAAGAACTCGTTCTAAATTCTGGGTGTTTGTAGCTTCAAAATAACTGGTTTTTATGAAATCAAGTTTCTGGTTTAATCATGATTGTAAGTAAACTACCATTATATTGATTTCGGAACCTGGGATGCTTCTTCAAAGAAGAGAACCATTCGTATTAAGCATAAAGTCTTAAACACATAATACTAAACTTCAAATAAACAAGGCCAAGAACAATTTCTACTATCAACAAATTGAAAAGTTGAAATCTTCAGAGAAATTATGTTTTTCAATGAAGAGAGTGATTAAATCAAGGAACAAAATATAGCATCAGAATGGATACATTAACATACCCTGCACTCTTGTGGAAACCAAATCTGCTTTCATAAACCAGCAGTACAGTAGCTGTGGGGATCAATTTATGTCTAACCGAACCAGCAAGCTGTAAGCGGAAGAACTATAAAACATCAGACAATATTACTCACTCTGTCCCACTAAATGTGTCCATTGTTGACTTTCAAAAATTTTTAAAAAAAATTGACAAAAAAATTAACAGTGGACAGATTTAATGAGAGAGAGGGAGTACATTGTTTTAACTTTGAGAAACTAAATAACAAGGCATGGCATACAAATACAGACTCCGATTCCGATTGCAAAGAGTTGAAGATGACAAAAGCTTATGATTTTGAATATTCATGGTCATAGATGTAGAACATTATCATAGCAGAACCATTTATCCGAATTACATACTCTGATATGAAGTTGAATTACTAAAAACACAGTCCGTTAAGAAATAAAAGCAAGGGGGAAATAGATTAGAGATATTTGGTAGTAAGAGTTCATGATGCATGTAAGGCCCACCCTAGAAAAATAAAATAAGGCAAATAGAAACAGTGAAAGTCCTAGATTGAGAGGCACAGGAAAACATGATTCTTCTATTTGTGTCTTTATGAAAGGCAAGGCAAGTTTGAGCCGGCAATTGGCTCAGTTTTTAGGGTCAACAAACTCAGATGCATGTATACGAAAGACGACTTGAAAATGAAAAATAAAGGAATTGATGCAGAAGAAGCAGACAGGAAAGAAAGATTGGTGTGTACTTGTTATCATCATCAGTCCAGCAAACAGAATGAGTGCAGTCGACTTGAATACTAGGCTTCCTTTCGCTCAGTTCATGATCGAGTTTACCCAATTCGATAAACTGCAAATCCTCCAAGAGTATCACGTAATGTTTATGCACATCTTCTGCAGTTTTTTTCCCTCCAACCATGGCAGCAACCACTTCCCAACGATCGGGGTGTCGTTCATCGACCACAGCTAAAGCCAGCTCAAACAACTTGTTCTCCTCCCAGCTCCAACCACACAAAACATCCGGGAACTTATCCATATGACACCCTTTGCCTTGGATCGATGGCTAACGATTCTTTTGAGGCAATTAAGGAAGAAGACTTAGTAATTGTTTAGCATTCTAGGATTCGTCGAAGAACAAGAGCTTGAGGGGAGCAACTTGTTTGATTCTCCAGACCAGATTCTAACACCCCTATGTCTTTGGAGAGGTGTCAGATGCCTGTTTTTGAGCAGCAAATCTTCCCTTTTTGTTTTGTTTTTCTTTCTGTCAGATACAACAGGGTGGAATTTTGTTTAGTTTAGATCTAACCATGGGGAAAAAATATTATATTATAACTTTCAAGCAACCAGGGTCTAAAACGGGAAAATCAAAGGAGGAAAAGAGGCAAAAACTTAAGGACTTGAACTAACCATTTCTTGCCATACGTATAGCCTGGGATTCTAAATATTGTTAGATCCGGCAATACAGCATGTACATGCAGAAATATTAAAAAGTAAATTAAAAAAAAACCCAATAATGGAAAAGAATCCGTCATGGTTATCTTCAAACCAGTGAAAAGTTTTCCCATTTCCCCCAAAATTTTCTACCTTGAAGCTCAAGAAAGAGACTTTTGCGGGTAGGATCAAATCATGCTTGATTTTTCTGATCAAGTTTCCATGCTTGGAAGTCATTTTCAAGGCGTTTTAAATGGGTAGAAAAGACTTGGTTTTAGAAGAAAACTTTTGGTTTCCTTTCCCCCCAATCGTTGGCCACTGAAAACCGATCCCCATCCAACTTTTCATTTATGAAGTTTCTCAGGGTAAGGTTTGCTTTTAAATTGATGTGTTAACCTGTCCCCTTCAGTCCATAAAATGAGGAGAACACCATACCAATATGGAGTATGAGGTTCAAATATACTCCCAACCAGATAGTAACAGGTCGGGTCCGGTTTTTGACCCACCCTACCTTGGTGTAAGAGAATCGAAACTCGACCGATATTTTAGGTTAAAATCCCAATTTGATCCGATATATATATATATATATATATATATATATATATATAGATAATTTATTTTTATTAGATAAAACAAAGACCTAATTGGAAAAAAAATAAAAAGAGTATTATTATAATTTTCATTAAATATATAGAGAATAATTATAATATTATGTTATATGAGGGTTTTCATCTTAAATTTGAATTTGTCATGAATCAATCATACCCAACAAAAATCTAATCTAACTCTGAATCTAATTTTTTAAAATAAAAGATTGACTCAATCGAATCAAGTTGAAACCCATCACTCCGAATAAAATGACCATCCTACGAGTGCATTGAAATTTTGTATAAATTACGTGTTTAGTACTTAAACTATCAGTTTAAATCCATTTTAGTATCTAAACTTTTAATTTTTTTAAAATCATACCTAAAGTTTAATTTTTATTTCATTTTAGTACCCCTATTCAAAATTTAAAGTTAAATTTTGAAGAAAAAAATTAAAAGTTTAGGTATTTAAACCGATTAAAATTAATAATTTAGGTACTAAACGTGTTAATTTTTTAACAATTAAGTACTAAAATGAAATAAAAACTAAACATTATGTATGATTTTGAAAAAAATTGAAAGTTTAAGTAATAAAACTGATAGTTTAGGTGATAAACACATACTTTACCCTTGATTTTTTTTATAATTGAAGTTTATCCAAAATATTATCATCATAAAAATATATTTTTATTTATAAAAATAAAATCTAAGGACAATTTTTGTTTTTCAAAGTAACAACACATTTTCCATACCCCCACAACATGTTTTCAACCCAAAGAGCAGGAAAGGTAAGAACGTGCCCCACCTTCCACGCATCAAACCAAATCCCATCCACTCTCTTTATTTGGCTTTGACGAGAGACTAGTGTCTTATTTTAGGCAAATTAATTTACAGGGTAAACTATCTATTTGGAAACCACCTAGCACTTAATTTATGCTTTGGTCATCTCAATTATCATTCATTCAAAATCATACTTAATGCTATATTTTGATTCTATTTTAATCACTCGTCGTTAAAAAATTAACAATGATATTGACACATAGATAATGTCATTTCAATATTAAAAAATAAAAAATGCAACATCAACATCATCATTAAAAAATTAACGATAAGTAACCAAAGTTTAATGTCAGGTGTGATTTTGAAATAAAATAATAATTAAATGACCAAAACATAAACCAAGTAATAATACAGGGAGCAAATAAGTAGTTTACCCTAATTTATATGATTATATATCATCTTGCTAATAATTTATTAATCTAAATTAAAATAGCAACACGAAAAATAAAATATTCATGTTTTAAAGCAAGTTTGCTAATAATACTAGCCCTATAAGTCGTTGGTCCAGAAACCATTCTCAGATTTAGAAAGATAATAATTGCAAACCTGTAATGCATGGCTACCGAGTCTGCTAGAAATCTGTGGGGACAGTAATACAAAATGTCAACTATAATTAACCCTAAAATATTTGTGCAACACTCTACATCACGATGATATTGTAAATCTGTAAGTATTTCAAGAACAATCAGTAAAAAAATACAACATGCCATGGGACACGTCATGCAAGACATATGCACCACCAATAAGAACTAGAATATTTTATAGGTCCTGATTGCAAGAAAACAAAGAGTATTGACCCTTTCATGCATGAAAATGAGATGGTTAATGACAAAAATTCTGAGACATTATTACTATAGGTCATTGAGCAGAACTGAAGGTTGCAATCCATTTCCTGTTGCAAAAGAAGAGCATCAACAAAGACGTCCAAATTCTCTCCCTGCATCACATCGTCTATCGCATGATACGTGATGCCGGCACGATGATCGGTGACACGCCCTTGAGGGAAGTTATAGGTTCGAATGCGCTCAGATCTGTCTCCACTACCAATCTGTTTATATCAGAGTGGTCAGTATCCATTCGTCTAGATTTAAAGGTGAAAAAAGACTCGAATTTCATCTCATGGAAACACATACCTGTTCGGATCTAAGTTTTGATCGAGATGTATTAAGTCTAGACCTCTCCATTTCATACAGCTTTGCACAGAGCACTTTAAGTGCCTTGGCTTTGTTCTATCATATGAAGCAAAAAGGAAGAAGAGAGTAACAAACGCATCAGGATAAACATATACATGGACTATAAAAGGGACGACACTGTTATAGAAAACCATCCAAATTGATATTTCAGTGCTTTATTCCCTAAGTAACATATAATCCATATATTGCATACTTAAGAGACCTGAAATACGCCATAAGGCTGAAACTAGCACGTTGACTTAAGGGATGTGAAGCAAAAAGTCTGGATGCATCAAAAACTTTTCAAATGAAAAACCATTTTCCATGTTTAGATCATATTGTAACAAATAAAATCACTCCAAGGTGGAGAAAAAAAAGGAAAGACAGCAAAAAAAAGTATTATGTCTCGGCAAACTATCACAGAATATGGAAAAATGATGTTTGAGCGAAATATCTAAACTACAACATTTGAGTACTCTACCATATGCTGGGATCGTTCATCCTGTATGGATACTTTTATACCAGTGGGAAAATGTCTGACTCTGACTGCACTGTTGGTGGTGTTTGCATGTTGACCACCAGAACCACCAGACCTGTACGTATCAACTCTCAAATCTTCATTTCTTCATCGGACATCTACCTGCATACCCTCAGCAAAAAACATTAATCAAAGCAGGCAAAAATGATATCGCTTGAAATCTAGTAATGAGAGAAATTTAATTATGGAAATTTGTCAAATACTAAAGGTGAACTAGTATAAGCAGTCTGAGCACTCGGCAGAACATTCAACTAAATACATCTAACAAATTTTCAAACAGATTAAAAAACAAAACAAATGAAGCACAAATCAAATTCTTAAGCACCTCATCAGCCTGAGGGAGAATACCAACTGATACAGCACTAGTGTGTATACGTCCAGACTTCTCCGTCACTGGAACACACTGCGCAAAGAAACTCCATGTAAGTTTTAATGTTATGCGTAAAAGCCTTGTATTGCATGTAAAAAATCAGAAACAAAACCTGAACTCGGTGAATTCCACTCTCAAATTTAAGTTTCCCATAAACATCAAATCCTGATATTGCTGCACTAGCTTCCTGACAAGGAGCACAAGAAGTCAAGATTCCGTGATGCAGACAGAAGATGAACTCCAAAAGACGATTCCTCAAAGTTTAGAAAGACCAACACTCTAGAAAATGCAGAAAATGGAATGCATGCCTTATATCCTTTCAGATCAGACTCTGCTATATCCACAACTTCGAACCTCCAACCCTTTTTTTGTGAATATCTCTCATACCTGTCATAACCATGCAAAGGAAAAAAAACTCTCAGATAAGCAGCTTCTAGACACAATTCATGATTCCCAAAACAGACCACTGTATCGGCTTACATTTTGAATACATCCATTGCAAACAAAGAAGCCTCCTCCCCACCAGTTCCTGATTTAAAAAATGGGGTTAAAATTAACAAAAAAAGAATGACAGAAACCAGCATTCAAGTGTCCATCTCAACATACAGTCGTTACCTGCTCTAACCTCCAAAATGCAGTCCCTCTCGTCAGCATCATCCCTAGGAAGTAGCGACTTGAGTAGCAAGTTCTGCAGACTTTTCTCTTCCTCCAAAGCCATATGCAAATCCTCAGTTGCCATCTCAAGCATATCTTTGCCATCAGGGCATTCAGCCATCAACGACCTCAAACCATCAATCTCCTACTTAAAATGGGGAACAAAAAAAGGGAGCTTAAAACGGCATCCTCATAGGACAAAATCACAAAGTAATAGAGACCGAAGAAAGCACTAGGATAGCGCAAAAGGATACCCTTAAGACTATAGTATATACATTATATCATCATTCATCAATCCAGGTGAACTTAACTGAATACAAGACAGGAAATGAAGACAAAAATATATACCTTCTGTTTGGTTCTCAACTCACTGATAAGGTCCATCGAGTCCCTAAGTTTTCGAAGCTCTTTGTTAGCCTTGGAATACTCGGTTGGTGAGGCTTCCGGCTGTCTTCAAACCAAGCCACCAAGCTCAATTAAAATAAAACAAAGATCATAATACAATTAAGTAGAAACATTAAAGAGAAAAAAATGAGATTAAAAGATATTACCTGGTTTATGAAACTCTCGAGAAAAGCACTCCTCTGCTCAATAGCAACTAATCTTTGTTCCATGATTTTAAGAAGGTCGGTTGAAACCTGAGGCTGCAGTTCTGCCCATTACGAAAACATTGTTTCAATTGATCGAAAACAACACTAAAATTTGAACTTTTTTCTGAAACAGAAACCAGTAAGCACATAGAAAGGCTCACCGGTGGAATAATAGCGACAAAAGGATAGAAAAATGTTCGGAATCGCTGGCAAAAGAAAAGATATTTCATTGCAAGGACTGGGATATGATTTTGCTACTTGAGATTGCCTCAATAAATTGATGCACCGGCTAAACCCTTGACTGAGTCTCATAATTATTTCCCTTTTCTTCAGTTCGCCTTATTGATCGCTAAGCTCTAATTGTTGTTCAGTTTCCGGCGGAAGTATTGCCTGCCGTACCAAGTACTTGCGAGTTGCAAACTATTCGCCTGCTACTGATGGAAAAAGAGTTAAGGGCCATGAGAAGGCGGCCCACATCTCATCTACAATAGGAAAAGATAGAGGCCCAGAAACTTAGAGTTCAGATCCAACAATGGCAAAGTAATTATGCTAGAAGTCCTTAAGCCTTTTAGGATTCACAATTTAAAATTTGAAATTTATATTATGTGCAATTTAATTTTTACCTTCACTAGTATTTAAAATGTAAAAAAATAGTAAACGAGCTTTCAAACGAGTTTGTTCGTTATCATAAACGAACCGAACACATCTCTATTCGTGATATTTCATTTATTAAATGAGCATAAAATTTTGTTTATACTCATTTATTTAACTTAATAAATAAATAGTTTATTCATTTACATCCCTACTTCCATGAAAGGTCACAAGTCACAAATTCGTGGGCTGTTTAACTTATTCCTGATGCCATAGTTCTCGAAGGTCGAGATCCTCAAATTTTTTATATCTCATGTAAACTCTAGATTTTTTTTTTCTGATTTAAGTTCCACCATAAATATGCATTGTTTATATTTTGGTCCTAAACCTTTCATCAGATCTTATAGTGCACACCACTGAAATGAAAATATAATGGCCGTGATCGGATTGATATTACCCTTAATTGACATTGCACAGGGAAAATATATGTGGAGAAAAGTTGACAACAATCTGAGGACGATAATAAGAACTTTCTTTCCGACATATATACCGACTTAAACATACAAAAGAAGCCTCTAACAGGGGTGGTTTTACCACAAGATGTGGGAGGTTTTTATATTAGGAAGGAGGTGCTAACTACATACTAGGCCTTAGATGCTGTTCAAGACTCCCTGTTCAAAGGGATGTTTTCCCAACGCATGAATTTTATCTTCAACGTCTTCACATTCTCCACCAAAGGCAGGTTTGATTCATTTGGATTAACTGAACTTATATCAGTCAGTACCTGTTATCAGTGAGTTGGTGAAGCCTGATGAGTTTTTTGCTTGGGGCTTTCTTCGTTTGTATGTCAAAGGAAGGGTATCATACTTGAGCTCTGAACCACTAGGTTTACTTGGCTTCTCTATGCTTTCAACTTTAAAATCACTTGAGTTCTTCATTTGGTTGGGAAAAGCCATCAACTTGTCCTGCATACCTCCTTCAAGTCCTGAACCCGAGACTGCTTCAGGAACTCTTGGAAGAATGGCCATACACTCTTTTTGTAAGATTCTGGTCTGCCTCTCTTCTTCGTGATATTGTTTGGTTAATGGGTACGAAAACAATCCTTTCTTTCCCATGTCGAGGTTCTGCCACATATTCTGACCAAATTTGTATCTCTTTGAATCAATTATGCTTTCGCCGTCAACTTCAAACAATTTATGTTTACCTAAATCAGCAACGTCAACTTCCTTGCTTCTATTTTCACTAGAGTTCTGTAAATATCTACGGCTTCTTAAAACACTATCCTGATGAATTAACATACTTTGAGATTGCTCAGGGTTCATTTGGCCACCGGAAACCTTTTGCCATAGAAACGGTGACCCACTAAAGTTACCTACATTTCCCAAGTACGCAGGTGCTGCCAAATTATGCACTGTGCGGACCTGAAAATCTTGGGCAACCACATGCAATGCCTTCTGTGACCTTCTTGAGAACACTTTTGATACTTGGGTTAAGACAGAAGGAGCTTTGGGAACTACTTTCAATAGTCCCTTCGGTACCGATCGACTTTGTTCCAAAAGGTCATCCACAACCATCTTTTGGTTGTAAGTGTGAGTCGCATTTCCAGTAGTTTTAACCTTCAGAACACCCTTTGAACCGCAGTTTGGCACAATAGTGTTCATTCCATTGGCAGATGCACTTGCAACATTAGCTTTTTCTTTAACACTTTCCCAAATCTTTACTCTCTTTGGTAAATGGGACATGGCTGCATCCGGCTTAACATCCTCAGTTAATAGACCTCCATCATTAGGCACTGCATTAAGGTCAAGCAAATTGGCATTAGCATCTCCGCATTTCATCCTTGTTCTCCACATATAAAGCCTTTCGGGGATGCCAACAGTCATGTCACTTTCATCCCACAACCTTCTCATGTCTATGAACATTTGTAGCATTTTGTGATGATAAGATCTTATTGCATGGTAATATTTTCTTCTCTCAAGAAACTGCAAGGACTCTCTAAGTCGAGAAATCTTTGGAGGATAAAATCCACTTTTCAATCTTTTGAAAAATGTATCCACGGGATTCCCAAAATACAAATCACCACCACTGAAAAGATCATTCATAGTCAACCAGAAAGTCCATTCGTCCATATCTGGAAGGTAGGCTGACAAAGAGAATCGTTCTTCCTCTGTCAAGCATGAGTTCCATGTCTCTAACGACAGTATCTCCCTTAAATCCGGAAGATCAAACAGTTCATACGGTATACTGCAAATATGACCTTCCACCATGCCCAGCTCACAGCCAATTCCCTCGAAATCACAGTCATCCAGATCATCACCCGAGTCACCCCCCTTAAGAGGGTCATCATGTTCCTTTTCCTTGCCCTCGCCTTTTAAGGAGCCAGGAAAACGACCATGGCAACTACTAACCCCTGATTTCCATTGGCAAGTCTTCTGTATGCCCATTGACACCAGAAGGATGTTTAGGTTCACAATCTAGTTACATGGACAAGGTAAACAACCGATCCAAAACTTTATTGCAGCACGAAATCTACCTGCAAAGCATATCGATGCTTTAGCCATCAAAACTAGAACAATGCACCTGAATAGTAAACTCAATTTCCCTTGGTTTACAATCAGCATAGCTTCCACAGCAGAAAGAAATTCGTGGATATATACAACACAAACATGATAAAAATTTCAAAACAATTCTCCGTAGGAAAAAAATACTAATATTCACTGTTAATTTCGGCTCAAACTGATTTCTAACAATAAGATCACAAATTCTTCATCACGAGAAACCAATGAATTAGATCAAGATATAATAAGATTAAGCAGTTGAAAAATTCAGTAGAATTGAACAAAATATAAAGTATACATGCAAGAATTGGGAAAGATGAAAGCATTAGGTTGAGATTAAGACGATGAAAAAGGAAAGACTCACGGATAAGTGGGGGAATTGGAGGTAAGCCGAAACAAACGAGATGATCAAAGGATGAAGCAAATCCACCAAAGAAGAATTAGTGAAGGGAAAGCGGGGAATTGATCGAAAGAAAATTAGTCAACAGTAAAGGAATGCGTGAATCTAGGCATACATGACATGAGTGGAGTGGCTTCGCTCCTTTTCCTTTCGTTGCATTTCAAGAGAAAATGGCGAGCCCATAAAAGCTGCCAATTGGAATTTTATTTTTTATTTTTATTTTTCCTGCGGTTCAGTTATTTTCATTTGTTTTACATGCGACGTGTTAAAAGAACAGTTATATATAAAAGAATTATAATGAATAATTGTTTTTATTAATGTTGTACATGCACTGTACGTCCAGGCTCCCGCGTGACTCCACCTTAGGTCCTCGGCTTGAAAAATGAAAACAGTTTTCGCTTTTCTCAAGCCCAACTGTCTGTTTAGGGTATACAACAAATTTGGTCATCCAATTATTATCAACCTTCTGTTTTGGTCACTAATTATTTTGGTAAATTGGTTGCTAATGTTATATTTTTATTTTAAACTGGCATCAATTGTTAACAAATTAATATAAATTACGACATAATATGATATAATAAAAGTTTTAATCTCTAAAATTTGTATATTTTATCCATTGAGACGTAATTCAGAAAAAAAAAATTAAATAAATTTCACTTTAAACATTTACAAATGGTCATGAATTGTTAAAACATTTACAGAAATGAGGACATAAAATGATGTAATAATAATTTTAATCTTTAAAACTTATATATTCTATCAATTTGGTCATAGTTAAAAAATAATTAGATAAATTTCACCTTAACTATTTACAAATATTTGCATTTTGGTCCTCATTTTAAATAATCTAATCAATTCAACTCTCCAATAAAACGATGAGACATGATAAAGGTATTTCAGGCTACACTTATCCTTGGGTGCTTAGGATTTTGTGAATAATGAGAACTCCTGTTGGATTGTTTCCAGTCCTCATTCTTTACAGCTGAAGTGGTTGAGCTTTCGTAAACACAAATACTCCGCCACCACCGACGGCTCTACCCAACAGCATGTTCCGGTCCAGATACTAAAGGTAATAGAGTCCTCCCACCGATCTTCTGCAATACGACATGTTTAAAAATTCATATGGACCAGATTCAGAGCAGTTTTAGGCCATGACAATACATGGGTCGATGATATACCTCCCAGTTCCGGGGTTTGTTACAGGAACTTGAGCTGTGAATGTTCGGAGAAACTGCAAAATCTGCATATAGAAAACATTAAATGATTTTTCATAAACATAAACTAATGTATGATCAACTGTAAACAGATGTGGAAACACACGATTCTACTTGATTGCCGGACAATCGGATGATTTGAATATGCTGAGACACCAAAATGAACTTTAAGAACATCACTTTTCGGAGATAAGATAATAATACATAAGATGATGAAACATCAAAGCCAGAAAAATGTATTACATTTGTTCATTTTGAACTCAAATCAGTCGCTAATCGAACGTCAAAGAAGATCTTCCAAAATCTAAATTTATGGATGTAACTAGGGGGAGTTCAAGTTTAACATGGAGATCATGCAAATGGCCGAATACAAAATCGAACAATGGCATGTTCTAACCAGAAATGCAGACGATGATTACATACCTGTAGACTTAAAAATAACATTGGAAGGAGAGCTGGAGCAATCAGAGCTTGCAGCTGTTCTCTGATTTTTATATCTTGAATTTTTATCTGTCAAATACATCTTACAGGCCTGAGATCAGTTAAAACAAATATACATATATGTATATGTGACCAGTTTCAACTTCCATTAGAATTTAGAAGAATTACAAGTCATTACAGTTCTCTCTGCTTTGTTGCTATTTTGGAACCTTTCTACTCGTTATCTTAACTTAAAATATTGAGATTCTCTTAGAAAACCAAGTTTCCTGGACAGCTACTGCTCAACAAAATCCAGCCCAATATTGGCATGACAATGGCAGCTAACATGTTTTAGATAAAATGTTCATGAAATCAATGGCAAAAACAAGAAAAAGAAGAGCTCAAAGTTTGCCTACTTTGTTACTAACGAAAGACAATGGGAGTTCCATCCAAAAACTCCCCACGTCGAAACCAATGATCCATGCTTGATTCTTATATTAGATTCTTTTCTGGCATCAGGAGAACCACGTTTAAGCAACTGAGTCTGAATCAATCATGGGATTCCAAGGAGATGAGGAAGCAGCTGCAGCTGCCAAAGCACCTACAGCATCTCCTTTTAGGTACAACTCACCCCTGGTCCACGTTAGCTTAATAGGTCTAATATGCTTCTGTTGTCCTGACATGTACAACGCCCTTTTCGGAATGGGAGGTGGTGTTGGAAATTAAAACGAGAACGAATAATTTTCTTATAACTAAATTAGTGAGAATACGAAATAAAAGCAGAAAAATAATACCCGAAATTGATAAGGGAGTTCAACCAATTATGTCTACGTCTCCGGGCTGCTGCAAATCTTTTACTAAAGAGAGAAAATTTACAGGTGTTTACAAAACACTTACTACTTACAAGAAAACTCTCTAGTATTGGGAGAAAGAAATGATTTGGGATGATTTTGAAGCTAAATGGGTTAGGGTATTTATAGTTGAAGCTTAAGGACTAATTTTGTAAATACCCTAAAGTGTGCAGGGACTAAAATGTAATTAAGCCAATACCATTTTCAACAAAATATTAATTGCACCGAATTCGGTGCATCCACCGAATTCGTAACTCCTAATTCTGACTTGGCGCATCCTATTTTTTACTTTTAACAATCTCCCACTTGAAGACTGATTTTAATTTCTTCACACCTCGATCAATGCATCAACATTTCTGGTCTTGTTATTCTAGCATGCCAACTGAAGCTGAACACAACTTTAGTTTGTCCGTAGTCACAGTCTTTGTTAACATGTCTGCCGGATTTTGAGCTCCACTAATCTTTTCAAGTTTTAAAATCCCATATTCCAGAAGAGACCGGATAAAATGATATCGCAATTGTATGTGCTTCATCTTGGAATGAAAAGAGAGATTCTTCGCTAGATGGATAGTACTTTGACTATCGCAATACAATACATTGTTTTCTTGTTTCTTGCCTAATTCTTCCAAGAAACTTTGGAGCCAAATCATCTCCTTGATGGCTTCCGTAACAGCGACATATTCTGCTTCAGTTGTGGAGAGAGCAACTATCTTCTGTAGTTGAGAAACCCAACTCACTACAGTACCTCCTAGAGTATAGACATACCCTGTAGTGCTCCTTATGATGTCAACATTTCCGGCTAAGTCAGCATCTACATAGCCTGTTAGTATCGTATCTCACCTTTGAAACAAAGTGCTTTGTTTGTGATACCCCGCAGATATCTAAGGATCCATTTGACTGTTTCCCATTGTACATTACCTGGATTATTCATATGCCTGCTAACAACTCCCACTGCATGAGCAATATCTGGTCTAGTACAAACCATGGCATACATCAGACTTCCAATTGCTGAGGCATACACCACCTTCACCACGTGTGCACGTTCTTCCTCCGTCTTTGGTGACTGTTCTTTGGAGAGTCTAAAATGAACACATAAAGGTGTACTTACTGCTTTAGCATCTTGCATATTGAACATGGAGAGTACTTTATTGGTGTACTCAGCTTGTGATAACATCAAAGTCCCCGACTTTGTGTCTCTCTTAATCCTCATCCCAAGAATCTACTTTGCAGCACCCAAATCCTTCATAGCAAACTGCTTCGACAATTTTTGCTTCAAGTTTATAATCTCTTGCATGTTTGAACCTGCAACGAGCATGTCATCAACGTACAACAATAAAAAAGCAGTTGTCGAACTTCTTGATGTAGCAACAATGATCTGCTTGGCATATGGTAAAACCACTGCTACTCATGAAACTATTGAACTTATTGTACCATTGTCTAGGAGCTTGTTTTAAACCATACAAGCTCTTCTTCAACCTCCATACCAGGTTTTTCTTGTCTGCCTTTATGAAGCCTTCTGGCTACCTCATATAGATTTCTTCCTCCAAATCACCATGAAGGAAAGCTGTCTTTACATCTAACTGCTCAAGATGTAGATTCTCTGCAGCTACAATTTTCAACACCAATCTGATTGTAGACAGTTTCACGACTGGAGAGAAAATTTCATTGTAGTCAATACCATCTTTTTGATGAAAACCTTTGACAACCAATCTTGTTTTGTAGCGTTTTCTCCCATTGTGCTCTTCTTTGATCCTGTAAATCCACTTGTTATGGAGTGCTTTCTTGCCTGGTGGTAATTCAGCTAATTCCGAAGTCTGATTTGACATAAGCGATTCCATCTCATCTTTCATTGAAGACTCTCACTTGACTGAATCCTCCACCTGCATTGCTTCATCATAGCACTCTGGTTCACCATTGTCAGTAAGCAATAAGTAGTGTAAAGAAGGCGAATAGCGCTAGGTTGGTTTAGGAATTCTGGATGAGCGTCTTAGTTCTGGTGTGCCTGGTTCTTTTTGAATTGCTTCAGGACTGATCTGAACATCATTTCCAGAAATCTCCTCGAACTCAACAAATTCATTTATTTCAGCTTCGGTATTAGAGCTACTTGATTCTATGGTTGACCTATCTTTGTACATCACATTCTCATTAAAAATGACATCTCTACTTCTGATGATCTTTCGATTTTAGTAGTCCCAAAACCGATAACTGAACTCATCACCACCATAACCAACAAAGACACATTTGTTGGACTTGGCATCAAGTTTACTTCTTTCAGCATAATTTATGCGTACATAAGAAATACAACCAAACATTCTTAAGTGTGAAAGGTTTATTTCTTTTCTGCTCCAAACTTTCTCTGGTATTCTACCATCCAAAGGAACTGAGGTCCCATGGTTGATCAGGTAAGCTGTAGTGTAGATAGCTTCAGCCCATAGTAATTTGGGCAAGCCGGCATGTATCCTCATGCTTCTGGCACGTTCATTCAGAGTTCTGTTCATGCGTTCTGCTACGCCATTCTGCTGCGGTGTCATGGGAACTGTTGTCTCTATCTTGATCCCATTATTTGTGCAAAAATCTCTGAATCTACTGTTTCCGTACTCTCTTCCATTATCAGACCTCAACCGTTTGACTTTCAAACCAGTCTCATTTTCCACCATGACCTTCCATTTTCTGAAGGTATCAAAGACTTTTGATTTCTTCTTCAGAAAATAAACCCACACCTTCCTTGTAGAATCATCGATAAAGGTGACATAATATAGTGAGCCTACAAAAGATGGAACAAGAGATGGTCCCCATACATCAGTATGAACCAACTCTAAATTTTCTGCCTTGGGTGTCTTGCCAATCTTTGCAAAGCTGACTTTCTTTTGTTTTCCATATATGCAATCTTCACATAGTCCGACATATATATTCTTTAGATCCGACAGTTTCCCTTTTGACAAAAGTGTCTTCATCCATTTCTCGCTCATATGGCCAAGCCTTTGGTGCCATAGGTTTGATTTTCCATCAGCATCTGCTACTGCAATGATATTCTCTAAATTTGAGGTTATATAGAGAGTATCAGTCTTCTTACCACGAGCAATGACGAGTGCTCATTTGGTAATCTTCCATTCACAACCTGAAAAGGTAGTAGCATATCATTCTTCATCAAGATGACCTACAAAAATCAAATTTCTTTTTAGGCCAGGAATATGTCTCACTCATTTCAGCTTCCAGATGGTCTGGTTAGTAATTTTAATCGGATGTCTCCTTTTTCGACGATCTTCAAGGTTTCATCATCAGCTAGATGAACCTTCCTAAAATCACCACTAACATAGTTCTCCATGATTTCTTGGCATGGAGTGGAGTGAAAAGATGCCCCTGAATCCAAGATCCATGATTCATGATTCAATCAGACTATTGACGCTTAAAATCATGACATCACCTGTCTCTTCTGTCATGCTGGTAGATTCCTGTGCGCCGATATATTTCTTTGGTGCTCGGCAATCTCTTTTAAAGTGACCCTTCTTGCAACAATTATAACAGGTAAAATCTTTTTTTCCGTTCTTGATTTTCCCCTTCTGGATTTCGATCTGCCACAATTTGAATTTCTTTCTGAAGTTCTCCCTCTAGACTCTGTGTGCAAGGCTGAGGAGCTTGATGCTTCACCCGATTCTCTCCGTCAAATTTCTTCACTCAATACCAGATCCTGAACATCGTCGAATTTTAATTTGTTGTTTCCCGACGAGCTGCTGACTGCTGTAACAATAGCATTCCAACTGTCTGATAGAGATTATAAGAGAATTAAAGCTCAGACTTCATCATCGAATTCAATTTCCACGGAACTCAACTAGGTTGTGATTATGTTGAGTTCATTTAGGTGTTGAGCCACTGATGCCCCTTCCGCCATCCGCAAATTGAATAATCGCCTCATCAAGTGAACTTTGTTTGAGGCCGATGGCTTCTCATACATACTGGAGAGAGCCGCCATAAGACTCGCTGTGATCTTTTCCTTTACTATGTTGAAAGTAATATTGCAGGATAACGTCAGTCGGATAACTCCGAGGGCTTCTCTGTCGAGAAGAGTCCAGTCTTCATTCTTCATGCCCTCTGGTTACTTTCCTGAGAGAGGTTGATAAAGATTTTTCTAGTACAGAAAATCTTCAATATGCATCTTCCAAAAGCCAAAGTCCGC